GATACATGGACAGATATGCATCACAGAATAGTTTTTAGGTTACATGGGATCACAGGGAGTATTTAGTCAATGTTTTGTATTTCTTTAAATATTTATGAGGTTGCATTCTTACGAAAAAATTCATTTTTTCTCTGATGGAGCAGATGGGTCATCCTTTGAATCCACCTCTATATGATAACGTTCAAGCTTGTGACCAGGATAAACTAAGGTTTTGGGGGTTTTTTTTAGTTTATTCTGGATTTTTCCCATTTATGATGTGACAGTGATTTCACAGACGTAATATTCTTCACTAACAATCCCTTGGGTAAAATAAAGGAAAAGTAAAGTAAGGAAAATGTATGAAAAATGGCCTGCGACTGATTTACCACTCTGCCTCCAACATTCCCATTATGAAGAAGGCTTTTTGTTCCAGATATTACTGCAATCATCCTCAAATATCAGCAGCTGGGTATGTTGGGTGTGGCTGTGTGCAGGCAGGAATAGGACCCAAGGTGCAGACTCCGGAGACAGACGTGAACTCAAAAAGGCTTTAATTTGGTACTCAAAAATATAACATAACTGAAAAAACTCAAAACAAACTTAAACCAGAGGAATGCCAGAACACACAGCTAAGAAAACGGTAGATCGCGACACAGACACTAAGAAACACAGGGCTTAAATACACAGAGGGAGCAATCAGGAAATGAGTAACAGGAGGGAAACACAGCTGGGGCAAATCAGAATTGACGAGACCAAAGAAGCGTAAACTGAACACACTGAGAAAAGACGGAGACCTTCAAAGTAAAACAGGAAACACATAACACAGACTGAACAAAGACACAGACTCACATGCAGGCACTACAAAGGGAACAGAGACGTGGGAACAGGGCAGACACAAACACTGACTGAACACGGGGATATAGGAACTTAAGATACACATAGACGCGAACTAGACAAGGGGATGCAGGTGATAGGGGAGACAGAGCAACTAAAGAAGACAGAGACCTAAGCCATAAGACAGAACTCAAAGAAACCAAAAACTAGACAGTATAAATAATATCATAAACTCAAAAACCCTGGGTCGACGACCCAGGCATCCTAACAGGGTAACCTTTAGGAGTTTCATATACAATCTTTTATTTATCTTTTAGTCATCAAATATGTTAATCAAATTAGGTTTCATCTCTTTATTAAAACAGTCTCTGACTTGTAGATATTTAAAGAAATAATTTAACAAGTGGATAAAAGACTCGCAGCCCTTGTTGTTAGCCAGAGCCCTGTAAGATCGTATAATGTGCCCACTGGCTATTTTTCTTTTATGAAAATATTTAAACATGTCTCTGTCTTGCAATAAATCACCAAAGTATTATTAAAAGTATTATTGCAGTTGCAGTAAAGTATTATTACTGCAACTGTAGCAGTTTTGTTCACATTTAAATGTTGGTTTGCATGCTTTTACAATAATAAGAGATACACACACAGGCTTGGTGTAAGGAATCTGAGGTTATTAAGTCTTTCTAATTTGATTTGTTTCAAATTACTCATAAATATCAAATCTCTGCCAGCAGAGGACAAATACTTATTTTAGCAATGCTCACTGAGATACTCACCAACACATAAAGACAAACCCAGTTAAAATCAGACACAAAGACTTGAAATACAAAGCCTCATTTGACTCAGAAACCTCTTTAAGTTAGCGCTAACAAGGTTTTGGTTTGTTTAGCAACCAAACTATAAGAGAGAGCTAGAGTTTCATAATAACTAATGATTAAATATAGTTGTAATGCATAAACACACACAAGGAAAAAAGAGATCAAGGAAGAAGAAATGCTCAGTGCATTCTGGGAAGCCCCCCCAGTAGCCTAAGTATATTGCAGCATAATTTAGAGACAATTCAGGAGCACCTGAGTCAGTCCTAACTATAAGTTTTATCAAAAGTGAAAGTCTGCAAAGTATATGTCTTATAAAATCTCTATAAAAACAGCCTCTTGCTTGCATTTTCTTTCAGCCTCCATTTCTCTTTACATCTGTATTGATTATTGGCTGCACTGTTGGTGATGACCGTTAACCTTTTAGTTTAGTAAAAGGCTTTCTGTCTAGTGTCCATTTGCATGTCTGGCTGCACAATATTAAAGCATTTACAATGCACGGACAACAGAGATAAGAGTGCAGACTGCAAAGACAGAAAAATGAGTAACGAGTTACAAAGCAATTTTCCTGTAGTATCAGTAGCTAAGTTAAGCTAAGGTACAGCGGAAATAATAAATACAAAGAAGCTGAGCCACTGTGGTTCTTCTGAGAGATGATTCGTGCATCCTGGTGTCAGAGTTCACTCCTTGGGGATGGTGAACAGAGGAATGAATGCTGCATTCATGAATTCATGAGCACTTTCAGAGTGATATACATGTGATGTCACCTGATCTGTATGAGTCAGGCAACAATGTTTGTGGCCCTGAAATCATAAATCCCAGAAAGAAATATGTTTTCATATTTCATTTAAGGTTTGAGGGTGGTGGGCTGGCCTCTTGTAAAATGTACAAATATACATGTTTAAACTATCAGCAGACTATTTCATTGATTCCTGCTGCTGTGGGCTCTTATAGAGAGATCGCAGTCTCTTCCAATGAGCTGTGATTCCATTGATACATAAATTTATTTTTAGATATACATATTTTAATTTTTACATTGTATCTGGCCTGACTAACAGAAAAGGCAGGGATTAGGATTGTTTCTATTCAGGTTGCACATGTAACACGAGCATATAAAACAATCTAAGCTTGTCAGCATGTCTCCAATTTTGTAAAACGTGAACAGGAAATTGATATCAATATGATCTTATGTGCATGTTGTTTTAGGATCTTGAGTTTTCAAATCATCTGTTGAAATAAAAATGGGTGGAGACGGGTTTATTAATGTGATTGAATATGTGACTTCATATAAGATGTTTCAACATCAGTTTATGTGTAGATATTTAGGCTACGTGCAGCTATATTAAAACAATATGTAAGTACATCTATTATTTTACAAACCCTAAAAGGCATTGCACTATTAGGCCTCCTGGACATTTTGCAGAGATGTTTGCAGTGTAAGGTTGCAGCCTGTGTGAATTGCAAACACCCCCATGTGTGCAGATTTATGCCAGCTGTGTTGGGTTTACATGCATGCATGTACAGAAAGGGGTTCGATCTAATTAAGTCGCTTCAGAGGGATGACTTCATCATGATTTCCTTTCTCCCTCCCCCTACTCAGACCCCGCCACTGCCACACCCCACTCATGCACCATTCATATTACATGGCAGTAGGATAGCACGTCTTTGAACCAAATTAGCTGTCATTGCAACCCCTTAATTCCCAACAGACAGTGGGGGTAATTTAATCAGTCGGCTATAGCCTGCAGGAGAGCACGCATGCAGACATCCAAATTCATACAATAGAGAAAAATTATTTTATCATCTGTCTCTTGTGACCACACAAACAAATGCTTTAAGTGAGTCTGGGGAGATACTTTCTTCTCTTTGCTACATCAGCCCCGCCTTTGGCAACTTTTCCTGTACACCTGTCAATAAATAAAAAGAAATTGAAGGAGTTCAGTAGGTAGAGATTTTCTCAAGATTATTATCGCAGCTTTTAATTACTGTCCATACTACATCTGTATCTCAGTTAATGTTTAGAGTTCATCTGAGCTTTGTTGTGACCGACTTTTTCTACTGGATTAAGTTAAATGAAGCCTAATCCTAATGAGCGCATTTGAAATTACCCAGATCGCTATAATAACTGGATTACATGGGCTCCCCCTCATTTAAGACACCCCTCCTCTTCTTAAAAATATCAGGGGAAAAAATAGGATGAGATGGGTTGGGTGAAACTGACGAGACTGAAAATGGCTGAAAAGCAATAGGACGACTTTGTGTATTTGAGCATTTCTTTCTATTGTAACTCTTTGTGGTCTTTCTAACTTAAACAGACCCTTGTCTCACAAATTCAGGGAGTGGACATTGGTTAATGAATCTGTCATTATTAAGTTAAACACACACGCACACAAGCACTGGTGTTAACAGTGTAACTAATGACACATGCACTGAACAAAAGCCCAGCTGTCACTCTAGAGGCTTAACAATTATGCATGAATATTCATGGCAGCCACGAGAGCGACAGAAGGTGAGCTTGGCTTTGCAAAGCGTGGTCTTTGTGGAAGTCAGTGTGGAGTCAGCTCTTTCACCTCATCTCCTTTAGCTTTAACAGCAGCTTTAGGAGCCTGTCATTAATTTAGTATGGTTAACAAAACATGACATAACTTCTGCATTAATGCTAAAAAATAATTTAAGAAAATAAGAGTCAGAATCTGCTTGACTAACAAAGTTAGAAAACCTTGCACTGATTTGCTCTCAGTCATATTATTATTGCTAAAAATGGAAATTCATACGGAAACCCGAATTATGGCTTTCATTTTTGAAGATACCTTAAACGTTTCTCTATAGTAAAAACTGCATGCAGCTAAAACCAGGTGGGCAGCTTTATGTATTTCTTTATCAGGTTATGAGGATCAAATCACACTCTGACCACAACCTGCTAACATTAACTCCAAGGAAAGGTAGAATTGTCTTAAACGAACTGCTGCTAAGTAGTGATTTTGTTTATTATTACTAATTTTGATTGACATTTAATGACAGTTGTTCTAATACATTTGTTAACCATTGATTGGGTTTCATTTATGTACGTGTATTGTTTTTCTGCACAAACACATACATATGGGCACTGTATATTTTTATGTATTAAATTTTATTGTATAGAATATACAATTGAAAGAATAAATGAAAAAAAAAACATCACAGCATGACTCTACTTTAAACGGCCAGACGGTGGTAGTAATCAGCCATTTAATTAGAGCACGTTGACTACATGGTGAATCGTTTAGATAGGCCGTGTCAGTATGAGCCCGCCTCTAGGGAAATCCGATTGGAAGACGTTATGCCATGAGAGAACTCCGTTTCTTATTGGACAAGATACCCTTCACTCCGCGGTGATGTACTCCAGACGGCTAGCTGTTTCGAAAATGAAACTGGCTTACCTCTGACTTTGATAGGTAAAGACGAGAAAACGAAAATAAAACGCTTCTTTAAAAAATTTCAGGCGATTCACTCTTGCGGCCGGACACAGCGGAGGCTCAAGACACAAACGGTAAGGATAAGATGATGCGAGAGACGGGGGGACATTTTTTTGGGAGTCAGGCCTTTGCTGTCAAACCACGACAACAACAACACCTGATTCGCTTCTCCTATTTTAGCTTCAAGCTAATTACGGTTTACTTACAAGCGAGTGTAAACATGTGCAGACGTGTTTGTTGACCCCCTCTGACGAAATACTGCTTAATTCTCTGTCCAAGCGGTTTGTTGTGGTTTTAGATAAGACAAGCAGGAGAAAGGCTCACAGAAAACTGCTCCTCCTTTTTTTTCTTTTTTACAGCGGGATATGTTCAGCAAATACCATACCAGTTCGGGGCGTGTTGTACTGGAATGGAGGTATGTATATTTCGTATTTCCTGTCATAGATATGTCTATATTTTTTTCTTGGTGTATTTTTAGGGGCCTCTTATAAGCTACCTATAAGCAAAGCATTACACCACAATGTGTTGTTTATCGTGTGATAAGCCACAGCTTACATGTAAAATAAGTCTTTCTTACGTCATGAGGAGTGTTGGTCTTCTTTTCATGTAATTTTTGTGGGGTTTTCTGGGGGCTTTGGGCGTTGGTGTCACGGCTGTAACACAATAGTCAGACCAAAGCTTGAAGGACTGTGTTTTTGTTTGGTTTTACTTGGTCATTCGGGTATATTTATTACTTTGTGTCGCATTCAGACATTCTAAAATTGTTGCTGGTATCTAATGCATAAAGATATTGCCCTATCTGCTCTATGGACATATTTTATATATGCACTTTAGGCCAACTTTTATCTGCTTCCAACATGTATCATGTAAACAGAGTGCATTTTGACCAGTAGACCTAGTTTTGAATTCCCGAGTAAGTACCTACATTCATCTTCTGTCTGTGATCCTGACCTTTGGCCTTCCTTCCGAAGGGTCAGCAAAAATGGCATTTATCTGTACAGTCAATAGGCAAGGCAAGGCAAGGCAAGTTTATTTGTATAGCACAATTCAACAACAAGGTGATTCAAAGTGCTTTACAGAGACATTAGAAACAAGAACAAATAAAAAGCATGATTTAAAATTGATTAAAACAAGCAAATAAACTAACTAACTAATTAACAAACAAACAAACAAAACAGTATATAAAATCAAAACAGATAAAATCAGAACAGTAGATAAAATCAGATCAATAATGAATAAACCAATAAAGAGTTATACTTGAGGTTAATTCTGGTGGACTTTGTGGATGTTGTAACCTGTATAGCGTGTTTTCTATAATGTATGGGTCTCAAATTTAGTTGATCTTTAACCAAGATATGAGGTGTGGTCGTACATATGCAGTGATATTTATGCAGAAAATGAAACTTAGCAGTGAAACCTGGTCACGTTCTTTAAAATTTAGAGCCATAACTCTCTCCCCTCCTTTCTACAGTCTGTAGCAGCAAGTTTGACAACTCGGTGAGACTGAAGCTGCTGTCGGTATGGCGCACTTTGACACAGAATACCAGCGCCTGGAGGCATCATACAGCGACTCTCCCCCGGGAGAGGAGAACCTGTTGATGCATGTGCCTGAAGGAGTTAAATGTATGATACACATGCACAAATCACAAACAAATATAAGACTTTTTCAAAAACGCATGCCCCTTTTGTCTTATATTCACAGTGATGCCTCAGAATAACAATGTCACTAACTGGAAACAACTCTTTTGCAGCTCAATGGCACCACATAGAAAACCTGGACCTGTTTTTCCAGAGAATATCCTTTGAAATAATTTTGGCACATTTCTTGCTCACCACATTCTGAATTGCGCTGCACTTTCTTACCGCAGATGGATTTAGGATATTCCTTAACACTTATTACGTCTATAATCTGCATCAAAAGAATGGATTCACTTGTATGCTGCTCGGAGAGATCTTTGAGCTGGTGTATGTATTCTCTCCATCACAAGTTGTATTTTTCAGCAAATTTAACATTAACTTTTATCTGTAGAGTATACTGTGTCTTATGTCTGTCTTCATATTTTCTATTTCTCCCTGTCTTTCTTCTTTACCTGGCACCGCTCGCTTTCTTTCTCTATGCAGTCAGCTGCTGTTTGTGGTTGGCTTTACAGTGTTCCTTGCTAACTGTGTGGATTATGACGTCCTCTTTGCCAACAAGTTTGTAAATCACACCGATTCATCTAAAGTCACCTTGCCAGATGCATTCCTCCCAGTGGATGTCTGCAGTGCAAGGTGAGTCTAAGACTCTGTATTTGTTAAAATGTCCTTATGGTGTCTTTTGCATAGACAGTGCTCCAGCTGTAGTTCAAAACAATAATAATATTTACCGTATGCTGTGCTTGGTGGAGCCCCTTAGTTTATTGACTGCCTTAAACTACACATTTTAGTCCTTCTATCTTTGAGACAGCTTTTTCTGATTGGTTGCAACACCTCAAACAGAAGATTTAACAGCAGGTGGGTGGGGCATCTATACTTACAGCCATGGCTTTGTGTGGCTGAGATGACCATGTCAAGGACATCTGCCCTAAATGATGTCATACAGAGACTAGATTAAAATAGAATATCTGACATCAAGCTTTTAGAGCAGTCTGAGGTTTATGTTTACATGCTGATGTTTTGACCATTTTAGATATGAGAATCCAGACAGAAAATGAGGAAAACATAAAAGGTCCACTTTAAGTCTACCTTAAATCTTCACTATATTATCTTCAGAAAATATTGTAAAATAAAGCCTCCAGTTTTCTTTATTTTTCTGATAAATATGACATTTTGTTGAAGCACTGCTTCAATACTGGTAAATAATAACATGTCTTTTGGTCTACAGAATCCGAAACAATGCATTTGTGATCTTTGTGCTGATAATCTCCGGGGTGTTTTGGCTACATCGGCTCTTTAAATTCATCTACAATGTGTGCTGTTATTGGGAGATCCGATCCTTCTACATCAACGCCCTTAAAATGACCATGGTGAGTTTTTTGTGGGACAGTTTGTCCTGTTGACATTAGAAACCCCTAATAATGTCTGTTATTTTTGCCAAGAATAAAGCCCAATTCCTAAGCTTTATAGTGCTTTTGTGCTTCAGTCAGAGCTCCCCTATGCAACGTGGCAGGAGGTTCAGGCCAGGATTGTTGAGATCCAGAAGGAACATCAGATCTGCATCCATAAAAAGGAGCTGACAGAGCTGGACATTTACCACCGCATCCTCCGCTTTAAGAATTACATGGTTTGTATATTTGCAGTGAAATGTTATTAAAGATTTTGGTGGATGAACACCTCCTTTCAGACATAACAAAATGATGTAACCTCAAACCAAACCTTTCTTCCTGTACTTCTCTAGGTTGCCATGGTGAATAAATCACTCCTTCCTGTGCGATTTCGACTTCCTGTACTTGGGGAGTACGTGTTTTATACTCGGGGTCTCAAATACAACTTTGAGCTCATCTTCTTTTGGGGACCAGGTCTGTCATCAGTTATGCATGTGTGCTTTTGTATACGAGTTATATCCTGTGTAAGTAATTGATCTGTTTATGAGAAGAAACCTTTATTTAAACTCTGCTGATTTTGATTGTTTTCATTCCTGCAGGCTCCCTGTTTGAGAACGAGTGGAGCCTGAAACAGGAGTATAAGAGGGGAGGGAACAGGCTTGAGCTTGCAGACAGGCTAGCCTCTCGTATCCTGTGGATCGGCATTGCAAATCTGCTGCTGTGTCCAGTCATTCTTGTGTGGCAGATCCTTTATGCCTTTTTCAGTTATACTGAGGTAAATGGTTTACATATGAATTAACTAAGCCATTTCCTTTTGCATTTAATAGTGACGACAGTGCTCTGTTTTGTTTTTTTATCTGTGTTTGTATGTAGGTGATCAAGCGAGAGCCTGGCTCTCTGGGGGCGAGATGCTGGTCTCTGTATGGTCGATGTTATCTGCGTCATTTCAATGAGCTGGACCACGAGCTCATGTCACGCCTCAGCAAAGGCTACAAGGTCAGTGCACCAACTCATCTCCTGCACATCTTTGATGCTCATACCTACCTTCTTATTTTGTAAAAGCTATGATTATAAAGGCTAATCCGTAAATCTGGCAAATCTGTAAATATATGAGACCAATTGGGATTTTTCCTGTAGATAAGAGCAAGGAAAAAGATTTTTCTGGTGCTTCTCATTCATTGCCTGTAGAGTTAATAATCAACCCCATTTCCTCCTCCTTTCTTCCTCTTCTTTGTACTCTGTTCCTGTTTCATTCAGGCTGCATCCAAGTATATGAACTGTTTCCTTTCACCACTGCTCACAGTGGTTGCCAAAAATGTGGCATTTTTTGCCGGGTCTCTTTTGGCCGTTCTCATCGCCCTGACCATCTATGATGAGGACGTTCTTGCAGTGGAGCATGTGCTCTCATCAATCACACTCCTTGGAGTGTGTATCACAATCTGCAGGTAAGGACTGATGGTGAAATAATTTAATGGGAAGTCTGAATAAGATAAAAACCTAAATTTAAATGTGTTCAGTGGAGAAGAAAAGTAAAATAAAGGGTAGAAAGCAGAATAGCAAGAAACCGCTAATCAGTCCAGCTGTGTAAAACTAATTGAAACTTTATAAATCTATAAAATACTAACAATATTGTAAATTAAATTGCATACATCTGCTACAAACTAAGACTATAGGACCCAAATCTCATCATGTAGAATATCAACCATTAACCCCGAGCCATTTCTTTATTGCCCTTTTAAAGCTACTCATAGTTGTAATCCCTTTAATGCTCTTTTGCATCTCGTTCTTCTTCCTACTTATGCAAGGAAGATGGATTCCTTGCCTTAAGCAGCTTCTGGCTCTTTTACATCTGAATTCCAAAAGTTAATTTGACACAGTTAATTATTTTGCGCTTTCAGCCATCCAAAACACTGAAAAAAAACTATGCATATGTGTAATTTATTATGAATGAAATTAATAATTTTTTAAAAATATCCACTTTTACTTTACTTAAACAGTTCATTCTTGTCTAATATGCATCTGTTTTCCAAAGCTTTGTGTCATCATACATATCTCAGTAAATGTGGAAAAAAAAGACCGTCTCCACCACTTGTCTTTCTTTCTCTACAGGTCATTTATTCCTGATAAACATATGGTGTTCTGCCCTGAGCAGCTGTTGCGGGTCATTCTGGCTCATATCCACTACATGCCTGATCACTGGCAAGGCAATGCACACAGATACGAGACCCGAGACCAGTTCTCCCAGCTGTTCCAGTACAAAGCAGTGAGTACAGAAACTTAACTATGAATAAACCTTTCTAAATGCATTTATTTTTTCAAATTATACACTGAACATGTCATTACCTGAAAACTGACTGAAGGACAATTAATGGAAGCCAATCATTGTTTTTAAAAAAAACAAACAAATTATGTACACATGTTCTGCTCCTGCTTACTTCTGCCATGCTCTGCATGCTTTTTCCAGCCATTCTTTTGTAGATTTGCTGGTGTGTTTGGGAACTATGGCCTGTTGCAAGGGACGAGCTTTAGCTTGAAACCTCATATTTGATGCTAGAATACTTTGGAATACAGAAACATTCAGGCGCTCACGCTTGCTTATGATCAATCAAGTGCATTTGATTAGCAGCACTTGGCCGCCGCTTACCCTTTTAAGTGATATGGAAGCAATAAGGGAGCACATAGGTATTCATACACTCCTCCTGCATTTTGGCTTCGTTTATGTTAAAGAAATAATGACATGGTGTAATATCCCGTGTTTTTGTAGCTCATCTAAAGTTACCTCATTTTAAGACTTGCTGAGGCCCAGATTATTTTTATTACTTCCTGATATGTAAAATCTTAGAACTGAGAGAAGGTGCACTTTCTTTTTACCATGAAAGGCTTCTGAAGATTTTCTGCTATTTAGCTGTTAATTACCAGAGACTATGGCCTGAATACACACACCACCCACCGCTAATAGTGAGCTTCACAATCACTGTCATTTGCATTCATGTCTCGTAGGGATTGGAAAATTAGCAGATTCTAGCTATTGACTGTGGGGGTCTTTAGTCCCATGCTGAGGAGCATATTATCACTGCTTGTTAGAAGTAATTTACTCTTCCCTTGAAGATTTTTAGTGCTGAAAGCAACGTTGAAGTTTAAATTTGAATGTGTTCAAAAAGAATAAATTTAGCATAACACTTTCCTCGTTTTCAGTGTGCAGTTTACGCTTTGTTTTCCTCCAGGTGTTTATTCTAGAGGAGCTGTTAAGTCCAGTGGTGACTCCCATCATCCTCATCTTCTGTCTAAGGAGAAAGTCTTTGGAGATCATTGACTTCTTCAGAAACTTCACTGTGGAGGTGGTTGGGGTGGGAGACACCTGCTCCTTTGCTCAGATGGACATTAGGCAGCATGGACACCCTGCGGTGAGAGACTGTCACAACGCAGCCAATTTTATGACTAAATATGTAGATGTAAACACAAAGTGTTTATGTATAAACTATGTGGTGTTATTGATTGATAATTAATCCTCCCTTTGTAGTGGATGTCAGAGGGGAAGACAGAGGCATCTATCTATCAGCAGGCAGAGGATGGGAAGACGGAGTTATCGCTGATGCACTTTGCCATCACTAACCCCCAGTGGCAGCCTCCTCGAGAGACCACACACTTTATCAGCCAGTTGAAAGAAAGAGTTCACAGAGAAGCCACAGGGGCTCCTTCAGACACACATCCAATGTCTCTGTCAGAGTCTGAGGTAGGCTGATGAACTACCATGCATACCCAAGTATGAAAGTGGTGATTAATTAATGTAATTACATTTTCACTGGTAAAAATTTATTTTCTCTGTTGTCTTTTCTTTCTTTTTTAGCCACGGAGTCTCATTGCAAACCTCTTGACAGGTCCCTCCACACTGGCCTCAGTTCATTTTGACCGGGATATTTCTTTAGCAAATCATGCAGCAGCTGGCATAAACGATGGGGGGTCCGCCTTACGCTCTCTTTCACCAATTAGCAGCAGCCTCCACTTGAGAGGCAGCTTAAGTGCAGCTCACAGGGCTGCTGGCCATACTAGCAGAACAATGGCAGGCTCAGGGTAGGAAAGATACTCTTTCAGTTATACTAAACTCATGTTCTCCTTCTCTTTGCCATTTCCTTGTGTCCAATTTTCTCCACATTTGTTCTCTCCTCCGGTAGGACCGACGCTCGAACTGTGAGCTCAGGCAGCAGCGCATGGGAAGGTCAGCTTACAAGTTTGGTCCTATCAGAGTATGCCTCCACTGAGATGAGCATCCATGCACTTTATATGCATGAGGTATGTGCGTGCATAACAGAGGTATTATGAATATTTCACAGATCTCATCCATCTTTATCCATCCTCATCTTTCTCGCTTTTATTCCGAAGCTCCATAAACAGCAGTCTCGTGGCGAGATGTCCCGCCATACCTGGCACAGACAGGAGAGCGATGAAAGCAGCGACAGCATCCCAGATGAAGTAAGGAGCGAACCCATTCCCCATTCAAGAAATTTCCCTCGATCGCACACTTTCCCCACCACAGTTCCCAGTCCTAGTGCCATTCCCACTTCAGCTTCAGCCACCAGCAGCACCGCTCTGGGCCAGGAGAGGCCAACAGCACAGAGCAGCAGTCAGAGACACCACAGTGGACCTACAACTGGTATCTATGTTTTTGGTTGCTTGGTATTCTTTTTAATGTTATTAATTTTAAGGTTATTATAATAAATCTTTACTTTTGCAGTAGCATTATTACAATGAATGGAAATATAAATTAATAAACTTTAAGAAAATGTGTTCATTTTAGGAAGAGGTGTGGGAGCTGTGTCAGGACTAATGTGAAAATTTGCCTGCAGTGGAAATACTGTAATTCTTCAGTTCTACTTATAAACTGTATATAAAAGATAGATGTAGAGTCTGGAATTGAAAAGAAAGCTGATGCAAAGTGCTTTAAACCTGCATCCTTTCAAAAGGCCATAAGGAAGCGACTCAAAAAAGAAGCCAGTTGTGGAGAAGTCACAGAAGTGTGTTAAATCTTGACTACCTGTCTGTTTGTTTTGAAGACCCGTTTGGTACAGGGGTAAAGATAGTGAGGTCAGCACGTGTGCCAATGGGGGGATGGGCAGAGGATGGTCAAACAGCGCAACGACACCATGAACCACTACCAGAGGAGAGTTTAGAGGATGAAATGCCTCCTCACATACACAAGGTGAATGCTCTTTCTTTCTGTGTGTGCTATTGAATGTTAATTTGTCTGTATTCACTGCAAGTAAATGAATATTTTGTTCTTTCTCTCACTTTAGGTTACATAATCAAGCCATGTGAATACCTGCATCTGCCCTTCTATAGAGCCCACAACATTGATCCTCATCCAGACCCTTTTCCAGGACTGAACATCTGATCTGACATAATGCAAAAGCAGTAAAACCATCTGAACAGGTTTAGATAGTTATTGCCTTTGGTCATTCGAATACTTTGTGACTTTGCGACATCAATGATATATTTAACAGGCATTTGGAGTAAACGTGTTTATCAGAAGAGGACCTTCAGGATCAAGTTATTTCTAATAGCCACTGTGCACATCAGATTACACTACACATATTTAACATCACGTGGGATGAAAGTGCGTATGCTGTGGAGACACAGTGCTTGTGAACACCAAGCACTGCTGGAAAGTAAATAGTTTGCCCAAACCAGACCACAGGAGTCCGGACTGTGCTGTCGACCACTTTTGCAAACATGATAACATGAAATAAAGAAAATGAAGAATGTCTCCATAACAATGAAATGTGTTTAGACAGATGCTGTTAAAAACAGAGACTTTCATTGTGTATATTTGTTCTTGTACTGATAGCAGCAGGGTGTGGATTATACCATATACTCTGCATTTCAGCTTGCATTTTGCCTCTTGGAAAAAAAGTATGAAGATCTCAACTCTTATAAAATTCACATAATATTTTTCATATCATCTTTTAATTTAACCCTTTTCTGCATTAATTGCTTTACAAGAGATTTTTCTAAAAATGTCCCAAAGCCCAGGAATCTGGATGCATTTGCACAAATTGATGTTTGTTTAAAAAAATGAATTGTACTGATTTGAGTTCTGCATGCAAACATGCACTGTGTTATCAGGTTATTTCACAGCAGCCCAGGGGAATATTGAATCCATTTTGATGTGTTTGCAGACACTTTAAAATCTGATGTCACCCATTTTTTCCCCCATTTAAATATTTGTCAACAGACTTATAGACTAATAGTTCAGTAGAAAAACAAGGCTGTCAAGGCATGTAATATTGACTTCTGCCATACTAAAATCTCCCAAAGTGCATGGACATCACATATTCATCCTTCTGGAAAGTTCAAACTTGATGGCACAGCAAGAAACTCTACCATATCCAGTCAGAGCATGGAAGCACTCTGTTCCCCATGTCAATAAGCCAGGTCTTTACACTGGGAATGATGCACTTTAATAAGTTGCTAATGCAGAGTGTCACTTAACTTGGATTGTTTTGCATCTGTATATTTTCGTACACATATTGTTAAATTATTTTTATTTTTCAAAGGGATGTGCCAAGGTGATGATGAAGTACTGTCGATGGAGACTGAAGTGATTAATGTTAATTTGAAGGTGATAAATCTTGTAAAATACCAATTTGTACAGCTGAAAATTCGTCTATTAAAACGATGCAATGAGTTTGTGTGTGCAGTGAAAAACAAACTACAAACATGATACTGGTGTCAAGCCAGCCTCCAATTCGAGACTTGCAGTCAAGCCAGCCTCCAGTTTGTTTTACGTTCCCTGTGTATTCAAAGTATTACGGGAATGGATGTGGAAACCGGATTTCAAAATAAAAGCCAACTTCGAGTGAATTAACAGATATGTTAAGAACATAATAACATATAATTTAGGCTTTTTTTTTTTTTTACAAACTCTAATGTTAGATCTATATGACACAGCCTTGTACCCTAATTGTGCCCTGTCACTATCAAGGCCATCTTATTTTGGATTTCAAAGTAAAAGCCCTGTGAATCTTCATTTTTGAACTACTCTTTCAATGACTTAATAATGCTCTTAAAAGCAAAAGTCGTATTTCCAAATACTATTTGAACTTTATATCAACACTTTCCACCCACAGTCTTTTTACAGTGATACCATATCAATATCAAGTCAGTCTGATTTTGCCTTTCATAGTAATGGCCCTTTGAAATTGTCCATAATTGACTTAATCTTCTAACGATTCAAAATGCTCTAAAATGAAAAATTCTTGTTTCCACAGGGTAATTCCACCTTAGATCAACAGTATACAGCCCCACAGTGATACCATATCAATATCAAGTCATTCTGATTATGCCTTCCAAAATAAAAGCCTTTTTAAATTGTCCATAATTGACCTAACTTTCAGTGATTTCAAAATGTTTTAAAATGGAAATTTCCTGTTTCCACAGGGTAATTCCACTCCAGATCAACAGTATACAACCTCACGATGTTACCATATCAATATCAAAACATTCTGATATTGCTTTAAAAAATAAAAGCATTTTCAAACTGCCCATATCTGAGTTGCTCCTGGAACAATTTCAAAATGCTCTAAAATGGCACATTCCTGTTTCCACAGGGTAATTCCACTTTAGATCAACAGTATACAGCCCCACAGTGATACCATATCAATATCAAGTCATTCTGATTTTGCTCTCAAAAATAAAAGCCTTTTCAAATTGTCCATAATTGACCTAACTTTCAGTGATTTCAAAATGCTCTAAAATGGAAATTTCCTGTTTCCACAGGGTAATTCCACCTTAGATCAACAGTATACAGCCCCACAGTGATACCATATCAATGTCAAGTCATTCTGATTTTGCCTTCCAAAGTAAAAGCCTTTTCAAATTGTCCACAATTGACCTAACTTTCAGTGATTTCAAAATGCTCTAAAATGGAAATTTCCTGTTTCCACAGGGTAATTCCACCTTAGATCAACAGTATACAGCCCCACAGTGATACCATATCAATATCAAGTCATTCTGATTATGCCTTCCAAAATAAATGCCCTTTCAAATTGAGCATATACGGCCTACTTTTTTGACGATTTCAAAATGTTCTTAAACAGAATTTTGCTGTTTCCACAGGATAATTTCACTTTAGTTCAACAGTATACAACCTCACGATGTTACCATATAAATTTCAAGTCATTCTGATTTTGCTTTCAAAAATAAAAGCATTTTCAAACTGCCCATATCTGACTTGATCCTGGAACAATTTCAAAATGCTCTAAAATGGAAAATTCCTGTTTCCACAGGGTAATTCCACCTTAGATCAACAGTATACAGCCCCACAGTGATACCATATCAATATCAAGTCATTCTGATTATGCCTTCCAAAATAAATGCCCTTTCAAATTGAGCATATATACGACCTACTTTTTTAACGATTTCAAAATGTTCTTAAAAAGAATTTTGCTGTTTCCACAGGATAATTTCACTTTAGGTCAACAGTATACAACCTCACGATGTTACCATATCAATATCAAGTCATTCTGATTATGCCTTCCAAAATAAAAGACTTTTCAAATTGCCAAGATACGACCTACTCTTTTAAAGATTTCAAAATGCTCTAAAAGTGAAAATTGCTGTTTCCACAGGATAATTTCACTTTAGGTCAACAGTATACAACCTGACGATGTTACCACATCAATATCAAGTCATTCTGATTTTGCTTTCAAAAATAAAAGCATTTTCAAAATGCCCATATCTGACTTGATCCTGGAACAATTTCAAAATGCTCTAAAATGGAAAATTCCTGTTTCCACAGGGTAATTCCACCTTAGATCAACAGTATACAGCCCCACAGTGATACCATATCAATATCAAGTCATTCTGATTATGCCTTCCAAAATAAAAGACTTTTCAAATTGCCAAGATACGACCTACTCTTTTAAAGATTTCAAAATGCTCTAAAAGTGAAAATTGCTGTTTCCACAGGATAATTTCACTTTAGGTCAACAGTATACAACCTCACGATGTTACCATATCAATTTCAAGTAATTCTGATTATGCCTTCCAAAATAATGGCCTGTTGAAAATGCCCATAATTTACCTAACTTTCAGTGATTTCGGAATGCTCTAAAAAGGAAATTTTCTGTTTCCACAGAATAATTTCACTTTAAATCAACAGTATACAACCTCACGATGTTACCATGTCAATTTCAAGTCAGTCTGATTTTGCTTTGCAAAATAAAAGCTTTTTCAATTTGCCCATATATGACTTACTCTTGGAGCGAATTCAAAATGCTCTAAGATGGAAAATTGCTGTTTCCACAGCATAATTCCACTTTAGATCAATAGTATCCAACCCCACAGTGATACCATATCAATATCAAATCAGTCTGATGTTGCCTTCCAAAATAAAAGACTTTTCAAATTGCCGATATACGACCTACTCTTTTAAAGAATTCAGAACGCTCTAAAAATGAAACTTGCTCTTTCCACAGGATGAATCCATGTTAGATCAAAAGTGTACATCCACACCATGGTACTACTTCAATTTCAAGTCATTCTGATTTTGCCTTCCAAAATAATGGCCTGTTGAAAATGCCAATAACTTACCTAACTTTCAGTGATTTCGGAATGCTCTAAAAAGGAAATTTTCTGTTTCCACAGAATAATTTCACTTTAAATCAACAGTATACAACCCCACAGAGATATGATGTTAAGATCAAGTCACTCTGATTTTGCCTTCCAAAATAAAAGTATTTTCAAATTGCCCGTAGACGACCTACTCGTTTAACGATTTCAAAATGCTCTTAAATTGAAAGATGCTGTTTCCACAGGATAATTCCACTTTAGATCAACAGTATCCAACCCGACAGTAAAACCATGTAAATTTCATGTTGGTCTGATTTCGCCTTTCAAATTAATGGCCCGTCGAATTTGTCCATATGTGATATACTCTTTCAATTATTTCAGAATGTTTTAAAAATGAAAATTGCTGTTTCAACACATATTGGGTTTTCATTTTGAAAAGCAAAATCAGAATCAATTGATTATGACAGAATTGAATCATAAAGATGATGTAAAAGGAAGCTGAAATTGCCACTAGGTTGTAATTGATAGTACGTTTATATTTTAAGTCTGTGGAAAGATGTCATTCTAAATAAAGAAATTACAAAACAGCTTGCAAACCAACCATGACATCTTCAACAGGCCATTATTTTGGAAGGCATAATCAGAATTACTTGAAATTGATATGGTAACATCATGAGGTTGTATACTGTTGATCTGGAGTGGAATTACCCTGTGGAAACAGGAAATTTCCATTTTAAAACATTTTGAAATCACTGAAAGTTAGGTCAATTATGGACAATTTAAAAAGGCTTTTATTTTGGAAGGCATAATCAGAATGACTTGATATTGATATGGTATCACTGTGGGGCTGTATACTGTTGATCTAAGGTGGAATTACCCTGTGGAAACAAGAATTTTTCATTTTAGAGCATTTTGAATCGTTAGAAGATTAAGTCAATTATGGACAATTTCAAAGGGCCATTACTATGTTCGTCTCCTCCTGAAGGCCCGCAACACTGCCTTTAGGTCAGGAGATGCACACGCCTACAGTACAGCCAGGGCTAATCTAAAGAAGGGCATCAAAAAAGCCAAACACCATTACAAAAAGAAGGTAGAAGAATACTTCTCCAACTCCAACCCCCGACGCATGTGGCAAGGACTCCAGACCATCACAGACTACAGGACCACCAAACCCTCCCCCGCATCCTCTGATGTCTCCTTC